AAAAAATGTGGCCAGAAATAATAAATGATGATTGGAAAGGAAAAGAACAGTAAGAAATTATATTTGATGAGAATGCATAAAATGCATAAAACTATGCAGTATGACGTTCTCTTTCTTTTAGCAGTATTCTGATAGTTGGGTGATTCCCCCCTCCCACCCCCAGCAAAAACTCATCTTTTTTTTTTCCTGTAATGAAAATCAGTGCCTCCCTTTAACTGTTTCCTAATGTGGTATTCAGTCTTGCAGGTATAAACCAATTTGCCCTCTGAAAACTTAGTCTTATTGCTAAGGGTGATGGTGTAATCTCAGTCTGGAGCTTTGTTGGTGAGGTATGTATTTGGTGAGTGGAAGGTGAGCAATTTTAATTGTGGAAACGGGAGCTGGAGTGAATTAAAGAGAAAACAAATGGATTCTTTCAGCCAGAAAATGATTGAAGCACCATACTGAAGATGTTAGGGGGAAAAAAAAATAGGAGCGGTGTTCTAAGGTCTACAGGATTCTTGCAATGGACTGTAATCATTGGTGAATATGTTAGTCCATATTTTTCAAGTTGCTTAAATGTGCGGATAAGCAAGACTTCTAGTTAAATCATCACGTTCTGAAAACGAGTGAAAGAAAACATTCAAAACATAATGTGAAAAGGATGCACGCTTTTTAAATACCACAGACAGATACTATAACATAGGCAGAAAATTGTTGTTCTGTCCTATCTTACACGAGGCTCTTGAGGACAATTTCCTTTTTCTGTGTCAATGAAAGCCACCAATTAAAATAAAAGGTCTTGGTTACTTTTTAGAAGTGTTACACTAACAGTAAGCCTGGTCAAATTTTTGTGTTGTCAGCGTTCACAGTGCTGTTATGGGGAGAAGGTGTCTGTTAAAGTAGTGGAATACAGCTCCACGCTCTAAGATACGTTTGATTTTTGTAACCTAAATTTAGACTGTATTTAAAACTTTTGATGTTGTAATCAGCTGCTTCAAATCTGAAGACAAGAAAAAAAATATGCAATGTATAAATGATGTAATATAAAGGTTTTTTGTAAG